CTCTCTCTCTCTCTCTCTCTCAGGAGGTGCTCTTTCTTTCCTGTCTGTTTGTCCTTGTGTTCGTGTGTATGTGTGTCTGTCTGTGAGTGTGTCTGTATGTTTTTGTGTCTGTGTGACTGTCTGTCTTGCTCTTTTCGACCCTCCAATCACTGTTGTGTAATTAATTTTGTTTCTGTGACACTTTACATTTTTCTCATTGTTTCGTATTTTGGACCACATTTTCACTCAGTAACAAACATAAATGAACACATTATGTCGATGTCGAGCATAACAAAATGTTTAAAATATAAAATGTCACATCTGACCCAACATTTCGGAAGATAGGCCTACGTCTACATGATATGCCTGTGTCGGGCCTTCAATGCGTGGGCTGCACTGTTCTGAGTGATGACTTCAGCGATGCTGACAACCATGTCCATTCTTCTGTTGCAATTTTCTCCAATGTTCCTTTCATACGTAATCTATCTCTTTACGCTTGGTTTCGAAATGGTAACAGCATATCTGGTTACGTTGAGGAACGGAGAGTACGTGGAAGAAAGCACAAGGTTTGCTAAACAACGATGAGCGGGTGCAGTTTTTAAGATGATAGCATAGCACACCTTGTTCCTGGTGCAAGATAGTGTTAGGTACAGATGTCAAGAATAGATTGGTGAAACCTCTCACCACTTATCTCCCCTTTCTGCAGGAAGTGCTGTATAAGACCTGTGAGCATAATATACCAAATTATTAATGTCATCGTGAATAAATCATTTCCTCTCCTCCCTACTACCACTCGAAGAGCTCTCTCTTTCTTTCTCCTCTCCATTTTCTTCCCCGTGTGCGTAGCATCCAAAGATTTGTGCCTGTCTCGTTAACAAATTTAAAAGACAAATCTGTGACATTTTGCTTTAGCCAGTTTGCACACCGACTGAGTTTATCTTTAGTGGTATCACTGCTTCGTTCAGCTGTGACGTCTGTAAACTTTTCGTTGCAATACGGCATTTGTTCAAAGCAGCCACAACAGTTGATCGGCTAATGGGAGGTGCGTCTGGACATGTTTCGTCGACAGTGTGATCTGTGGCTTTCGATAATTGAAACTGGGTCATCTCTCATTTTCATAGTAACTTTCTCATGTCTCGTCCAACCCCCTTTAAAAAAAACAACCCCAAAACAACAACAACAACAACATCAACAATGGCTTGGCGCACGATACTGTAATCAGTGATTTGATCCATATACAACAGTTTAACAAGTTTTATGAAATCGTTGCCTCGCAGAAAAGCTTCATATTATGGTCTTTGCCAATCCTAAAGACTTACTTTTTGAAAGCATATTAAATCAGATGGTTTGTTTTTCAGATGTTACAAACAATTGATAGCTTCAAACTGAACGATCTAACACAATGAAAAAGTGGTATCGAAGGCAAGAGACTCGCACAGTAAACAGCTACGGTTGTAGCTTCCCCCGAGTCAGGGATGATGGTTACATTGGTGCGTCGTAGGCGTATTATTGAATATACTGGACATTTCTTATGCTATATTTGAATTGACAAAGATGAATTTGCTCTCTTTAGAGTTTACATATTTTTAGTTTTCCTGCGTTTATGTTTGAGTTGGTATTTGCTTACATTTTCCAGTGTGTGGAACTTGAAATGTCTATGTTAAATTAAACACGGCAATATAATTAACATCTGAATTTTTATTGTTACATTTCGACTCTCTACGTTGATATTCAATCGGAAAAAAGTGTACAGTACAGTTTGTCTCTGATGATCTAATTCATCGAGACGTTCTTTAAAAATCAAGCAAAGAAGAGGGTGAATTGTCATCTTGATACGTGTGTGTTTTGTTTCATGAAAGCTCTTTTCAGTATTCTCTTTTAGAATTCTGCCGCATTTTCAGGAGATCCTGTCAAAATTATGTTTCATAATAAATCGCTGAATATAGCTACATGTACAGTCAAACCTCTTTGTACCGCCCCCATTGTACTGCCAGCCCCGCTTACCGCTAGATTTTGGCAATGTACGAAAAGAATCCCTTACATTAACATAGCATTTACACCATTACACCGCCACCCACTATCTGCCAACTGTCTCAGTTGTACAGTCCTTATCATACTACTGTAAATGTACCCCGTTGTACCGCCATCGAACTGGCCGCCAGAAGTCCACAGTCTAGGCTACAACGGCCTAGGTTTAGATCAAACTCTTTTCGCCGATTTGCTCCCTCCCTGTCCATCCCAATTCCCCACCCTTGTCTTGTAGTTTTCAGGCAATATGAATAGATCTACAGTCATATAGTGTGTCACAAGCGAACACAATACAACGTGTAATGCAGAAAAGTACAACTAAAATAAAACATACCTTTGTAATTCGGCCTCAATTTTTGCTCCCCGTGAGAATCCGACTAAATTTGATGCGCTGATTATGAAAATGCTATTAATTTTTTGTCCTTAGTCATTCAATGTTTTAAAAAAGGTAATCAAATTTTAAAGTCACCTTGAGAACTTTAAAGGAACCTTGCAACCCCCCCCCCTGTAAAATATCTTGCGTCTCCAGTTATCAGTCCAAAAACTTACAGGATTTTATTTAGCGAGGACTCACGCTCAAGTCTAAGTGACAGATTGAAGGGAGATAATTCATTACTTCATCTAATGATTGGTAAAGAAGTTCCCTTGACGTTAGGCAGTCGGTGCTACATGGATTTAACACAAGACATGAAAACCTCGTTGTGCCGCCAGCCTCGCTGTACCGCAAACTTCATGCTCGTCCCAAGGTAGGTGGTATAACGGGGTATGACTGTATTCTGAAGCATGAACTTTCAATTTCCATTAAGATCGCTGTGGGTGGGTCAAACAAAGGCATGTACATGGGTTTCTATGCTATTTCCACTCGCTCTGCATGCACAAAATAGCCGGGCCAAGGTGGCAAAGGGCCATCACGACAGGCGGGCGTCCAATTGTACGCACTTAGGGCACTAGGGGTCTCCCAGGAAGATCGTCTGCATAATGATTGTGTCCACCGGCCAGTGCGTGTGACTCTCAGCGATCTCCCCTCCCAGCGATGGAGGCTGTTCCGGTATCGATTTTGTGCCTTGTGCGTGCCAGTTGGGATTTTGCCATCCCACGCACCCATATTCCCCCACTCCCATTTTTTTTCTGTCCTCCCCTTCCCCCTCTTCCACCCCAACACGATCCAGGACACGTTTCTGTTTAGTTTCCTTATTTATTCTTTTTTTCTGGGAAGCTGTCAGTCTCTATCGCTGCTTTGTTTTCGTATGTGACTACCGAGAGCCAAAACGAGTGATAAAAAGAGGTTTCCAGTCGTAGCTTATCCGTATTGTGACTGTTCTTGGATTGTCGATAACAGTGGAAAGTTATTATGTGGTTCGTCAGAAGTTGAAGACAATGTAATTTATAGGGACGATTCACTCCCCCTCCCCCCCCCAGCTTCTTTCTCTCTGTCACTCTCTGTCTCTTTCTGTCTCCCTCTTTCTGTCTCTCTTCCTGTCTCTCTCCCTGTCTCTCTGTCTCTCTGTCTCTCTCCCTCACTCACCCCCTTTCTTTCTCTTTCGCACTCATTCTTTCACTCTCTCACTTTCTTCTTTGTTCTCTCTCTCCCCCTCTTCTCCTCCTTCTCTTTCTTTCCCTCTCTATTTCTCTCTCAGACGTCGAAGACGACGTGGTTATAGAGGTGATTCTCTCTCTCTCTCTCTCTCTCTCTCTCTCTCTCTCTCTCTCTCTCTCTCTCTCTCTCTCTCTCTCTCTCTCTCTCTCTCCCTCTCTCTCCCCTATTTCTTTCTCTCGCTCTTTCTTTCGCGCTCTCTCACTTTTTATCTCTTCCCTCTGTTCTCTCTCTCTCTCTCTCTCTCTCTCTCTCTCTCTCTCTCTCTCTCTCTCTCTCTCTCTCTCTCTCTCTCCGACTTTCCTCGCCCTTCTGTTTCCTTTTTACTTCATTTCGCTCTCTTTCTCTCTGCATCTCTTTCTCAACCTTCTCCGTCTGTTCCCTCTCTCTAGCCTTTATAACTGCTCGAGGAGTATATAATATTAGCTCATCAATAGCTTCCCTCTTGGACGTTTGTACTGAGCAGCTTTCTCGAATTGTATCCACGTTTTATGCAGTAAGACCTATACCGCACCAAGACAAATCCTTCTTTAGACAGACTAAAGCTTGTGTTTTACGGAATTGTGAACAATGGAGTAATACGAACCCGACCGCACTACCTAGACACAACATTTTAGTCGTGAAAAGTTGTGACCGGCCACAAACCGAGTACGACAAGTCTGACTAAAGACTGGTTTAAGCCAGTAAGAGAATAGAGCACTCTACGGCACTAAGATAAAACTGCCTTGAAATTTGACGACACGGCCAGTTCCATACACCTACACAAACACACCCGGTCGTGTTTTCATGACACGCGGAGTTCCTTTCACCAACACATATTATGCATCTGATCATGTTTACGCAAGACTACATTCTGTGCTCAACGAGCAAGTACCATCAGCAAATATATTTTATAATTAGTCTTTGATCTTGATGTCAATTGGACTGAGAAATTAATAAGTGAAGTTGAAGGCAAACCTTCGCTGCACAATAAAACTTTCGAAAATTATTCTGACTGGTAAATGGATGAATTCAAAATCGTTTTTTATGTTTCTTTCGCCTGATTGAAAACATTAGAGCACGTACACATGCTTTCTCTGTCAATTCCATGTTCGAACTGAATCGTTAATATCAAAGTCCTAAGACGCTTGAATCTTAGTGCGGTACGGCACTAGTGGAAGTTAAATTCTGCCACAAAACTGACTAAACGGTCTAAAGACAGAATTGCCTTGGTGAGGTATAGGCCTTCCGGCTCATACCAAATTTAATCTGGCGTACGGGTTTCCTTTTTCACCCCACATCTCCATTATCCAAAATGTGTCATTACCTTCAAGCTTTTGGGGACTTGTTTTATCGACCGTAATGTCGAATGAGTACACGAAAGGAGATTTTAAAAAAAAGTTTTATATTTATATATTTATTCAAATAGATTCAGTCAGTATTAAATTGCTATTAAACCGCCAGGGAAGAAGCACTGCTTAACCAAACACGATGGTTATGTTTATAAATGAAGCTAAAATCCAAGTGCTCATTTACAGTCGTGTATTCGTTCCCCGAAGGCTATCACAACTTCTAACAACAGGTCTTATGGTCAGCCCGGTAATTCCAAGTTGTCATAAATTCCCTGACGTTTGTGATGAAGCGTTTTCGCGCTTCGCCGTGGGACGCAGAAGACGTGAGTTTAATATGACTATGGGGAGAATATTTATCATGTACATGTATCACTATTGGGACGTTGTTGTATCTTTCTCAGTCCCAGTTGGCCCTGACAGGCAGGGTCGAAAGATCCCGCCTCCTAAATGATCAATACATTGTCGAAGGAGGTTAAAACTACATTTACACGTACACTTTCTAGAACAACAAATTACTGGTTTGGCCCTCTTGGCCCATGCCGTTATTATTCACACATTCCGTCTCTGCCGAGTACCAAGCACCCACTACAGCGTTTTGAACTGTAAATAAAATCGGGTGAAGTATCTTTCCTAAAGACACAGTGTCCTCGCCAACTAGCCAGGAATTGAACTCACGTCTTTTAAAAAATCACAGGACTAACGTCTTACAGCTGGACTGGGTCTAGAAGACTAATGGCAATGGTACCTGAGATGCCCTGCAACACCCAAGGATGAAATAGATTATAACAGTAGCCATCGCAATGATATAAGGCACGTTTTTAAAAGCGCCACTATTTGTCTCACTGTAAAAACCGATTTACTATTGAAAACAAAAACAAAAAACAGACTAGGACGGATAAAACAATAGAAAAGAACGACGGGAAGATCAAAGAAAACCACATGTTCAAGTTTCAGAAAATCATGTTTTAACCCTTTTCCTGCCACATGGGTCTCCAGCAATGGCCGCCATTTTTGCACAGCTTCCTGTGCACATAGCTGTCTTTAGCGTTCATAATCATGTTATGCGCTAGATGAAAAGAAGTGAATTCTAACAACCGGCGCCTGCACTGAACGCTTTAACAAGAACTTTTGGAAATGAAATCAAGGATACCGATTAGATAGGATAGAGATTAGATCTCTTAAAAACATGGTCCATTGGTGCAGTAGGTATCATGCTGGACAAAAGTGAGAATGAGTAGGGTTCGAACCGCTCGTCTGGATGGTTCTTGAATTTATGTTGGTTGGACGTTTTTCAAGGCTCTCCATCCATCTGGCTAGGTCTCATCGGAGATAAAGGTTAAATTCGGAGGTCCTGCTTTTAAAAAACAAACTGATATTACTGAACGGAGAGTTAAGGCCATACAATTACTATTTTACGAAACACGCACTCCCTCCACATAATATACGAGTTGGCTTTTTATAGATTCTAGACTATGTTCATTCATACCTTATCCATCTATACCTAAAGATTTG